TACTGGCCAAGGAGGGGTTCTAAGGAATTTTGGGTCACCTGGAACTTGGCTCATATCAGGATTCATGGAAGTCTTTCAATTATTAAAACCCTAAAGGACAAGCTCCACAAATAGATTCCAGTTCCTACTACCAGTTTCAGTAACTGTGAAATTATTGGTTAATTCTGGCAATTGACCATTAATTGTGAAACTCCCTTGAAAACTCCTAGAACAGCCCTACAGTCACTTGGCTTTTTCTGATCTTCTGCAAGGACTGGTCCTCAGGGAGCCCAATGTCTATTGGGATTTTTTTTCCTGGTACCAGGCGTTGAACTTGGGCCATTACACTTGCTGTGCAGGTGCTAACACTGCTGAACTATCTCTCCAGCCCAATGTTTATTGATGCCCAAGACATAGGTCAAAGAAGTTTCCAGGTGTAACATGAGCCATTGGTTGAGTTTAGGTCTCTGACATCAAGTCATGGTCCTCTCCATCCATTCTATTTGCATCTTGAAGAATGTGTGGATTTAGCTTCAGAGGTCATCACAAACAGGAAGGGTTGAGAAGTACAGAAACCACATGAGAAACCAAGTGTCCCACCCCAGGTGTGGGGGACTATAGTTAGGAGGACAAAGTAGTGCAGCAATGCTACGAGGGCACACTTGGCCCTTAATTCCAGTTTGATCCTTGGCTGCCATTTAAATCTTCACTGCAGGCTTTTACCCTGGCTCCCAGGTCACTGTGTTCCCTGGCCCTGTCAGGTCAGGCTGCCAGAAAGAATATCCTAGACTGGAATGTTAAAACCATCCATGTGGGGCTGGTGAGATGGCTCAGTGGTCTAAAGCACCTACTTAGAACAAGCTTGGCAAAGCACAGGGACCGCGGTTCAATCCCCCAGCACCACGTGCCAGCCAGCCCTGCCCCCTGGTGGGCTGAACTGGCCACACACACACACAAAATAAATAAATTAAAAAAAAAAACAAAAAAAACCATCCATGTTCTTTCCTCACAGTTCGGAAGGCAGCAACTCCCAGTTCTAGGGGCTGGCAGAGCCTGTAACTAACAACGACTTACCCCCTGGCTTGCAAAAATGACAGCCTCATCTGTGTCCCCACATGGCTAAGAAAGCTTTGGCTCTGCTCCTCTTCCTACAGAGGCACTCACCCCATCCTGGCAGCCCCACCCTGCTGACCATCTGATTCTCATTACCACCTGTCTTGTTTTTTTAAATCGTTGTTGGGACAAAATACCATCACCCAATATGAAGGAAGGAAAAGTTTATTTAGCTCACAGTTTGCGGAGGTTTTAGTTTATATTTTGTTGACTCTAAGGCAAATGGCAGCAGTTTATGGTGACAGAAAACAATGAAGAGCAGAGGAGAAGTAGCACCTGCGGTGTCTATCAAGATTTTTTTTTTTTTTTTTTTTACACTGACTGCGAAGACCTGTGCTCCACTGCAAAGGACAGAACTCCTCCAAAGTGATGTGGCTGCACAGATCAAGCTCTTCCGAAGTGGCACAGCTGCAAGGTATGGGGACAAAGACTGGGACTTCTCCAAGGGGGTGGGGTGGGGGAGGGGGCGCAGAAGCCTTTCTCACCTCCTTTATATACCTTTTCCTATGGTGAATCACTCTGGGCCTGTCCTCCCTGCTCTATGGCAGGTCCTGTCACACCCTAGGGTGCCTCCCAGTCCTGTGGGGCGGTACCCCCCAAGATGTGAAACCATGGAGCCAATCTAGCCAAGTTGACACAATGTATCAAGCACTACAATCCACCCCTTGTCAACTTGGCAACTAGACATATATTTTTTAAACTAGTCTCCCGATATGAAGACCTGTTTTTTTTTTTTTTAACATTTTATAACTTGGACATTATAACACAGTTTTAGTGGTCCTTAAGAATCACTACTGAAAAAAAAGAATCACTATTAAGTCTACTAACATCATATTATATGAGAAGCATAACATTTTGCCCCTGGTCCCCGAAAAACTCATGTACATCCCTTTATGCAAAAGGCACTTTAGTCTCTCTGTTAGAGTTGCCAAAGTCCTAACAATTTTAGCATTGCTAACAGGTCCAAGTCTCAAGATCTAAGGCAAACTCTTACCTGTGAGCCCCTGTATAAATGAAAAGTTAAACACTTCTAACATTTAAAGACATAAGATAAACATTATCATTTTTAAATTTTATTTTATTTTTTCTTTATGTATTTAGAATAGGGACTACATGGTCTACAGGGTCTGATACATAGATTGGAATTGTAGTGATTCTGTTTTCAGCCTCCCAAGTGCTGGGATTACAGGTGCGTACCACCACACCCAGTCTCAATCGCTGTCTCAAAGCACCCTGGGGATGGGGGTGGGGGTGAGGGGGTGCGGCGCTGCATGCCAGGGATTGAACCCTGACTGCTGTGCTCTACCTAAGCAGACATTTTAGTCCTCTGAGCTATCTGGCCATCCTAAACATTATCATTTTAAAAGGTATACATAGGAGGATACAAACCATTGGGACCAAGGCAAGTTTAAAATCCAGAAGGGCAAACATTAAGTTCTATAGTTTTATGTGGAACATCTGAAGCAATCTGTAAGGAGTTATGAGCTCCAAAAGCCTTATATGGCTCCACACCTCTGGCTCTTCTGCTGGTAGCTCTCATGACTTTTTGAGGGGCTGGCTTTGCTTCTCTTTGTAGCTCTCTTTAGACAATCTATATTTGTGGTTTTTTAAAACTTTTGAGGTTTTTACTGAATAGACTTTTTACTCACAGCTTTATACATTGCCTTCTCAGAGGCACACTGCCTAGCCTCCCAGGCCTTTTGAAATCAAGTGAAAGCCTTTATAACCTCAGAACTCCTGCATTTTCTATGCACCTAAAAACCAATGTCACGCGGATGATGCCAAGGGCTGCTGTCAGCTGGAGCAGTAGCCAGGCCTTTTTCTCTCTTGGCTGTAGGGTTTGAGTGTCTGGATTTTTTAGTACTCTGACTCTAATTCTGAGGAACAAATTTTTTATGTCGGTGCCATTTTGGAATCCAGTGAGGCTCTCTTCTATTTTGGAGCCTAGTGTGGCTGCTGCCTCCATTCTGGAACATGGGGCTCTGCAGCTTTTTCCTCAAAGCAAAGTCCCTTAGCCTTGTGATTTTAGACCTGCAAAGGGTGAGAACCTGCTACCTCCTGTGATGCCCTCGGGACATCTTTTTATTTTTTGTTTGACTATCTTTGTAGTCCCACCTTTTTGGCACTTTTTTGTTTTGAGCCAAACTCACATATTAAATTATCCTGCTGGGTGCTTTGTTTTTTATTTATTTATTTTTTCTTGGTCCAATTGATAACTCTTTTAATGAATATCTCTATCAAGAAAGAACTAAGTGAATGACACCTTGGCTCTGTTAGACTAACTGGAAGCCAATCCCTAAGCATCCTGACCATGATCACCACTGTGGAGTCATTGGAAGGATGTTCAGGCATGATACATGATACATTAGTACATGAGAACATATTTGGTTGCCCCTCTTTCTAGTAGTACTTGAGGACCATAAGCACATGTTTACCTTTATGTAGCTATGTCCTTGTAATACTGCTTTGACTTTTCCTCCAACTATCAGTGGCAGATGCCCAGCCTGCAGGCGTCTACCATGAAAAGGTAGGTCTAGATTCCATAAAGTATGTTGTATAGGCCCAGTTTTGTCACTCATAATGAGTTTAGAGATGAGAGGATTGAGGCCTCTACCTAACCATGTAACATTGGACAAGGCCTCTGAAATCATGATATATAGGAGGAATCTACAAAATAAATCTTGTGCCAATCTTGGTCTTTCCCTAGAAGGAAACCTGTAGGGGACCAGTCTACAAAGGAATAATTAAATTTGTGTATAGCCCATCCATGGTATGTATCTCTGTAAGTCTGCCATGGGCCCAAATCACCTTCCTCAAAGGAGGGACATGAGCTTCTGGAATATAGAAAGGAATGGTAGGTTTAAAATCTCTTACAAGGTTACTATCCAGTGGAATAGAATTTAGGGTTAATAAGGCAAATTGTCCTTTAAACAGTTGTTCTTCCCAAGTCTGATCTGCAGCCGACATGTAAAGGCTAGCATCCTGTTGTACATGGGCTACACACAAGGGAAGACATACAAAATGAGATGTAA